GAGGTTGAACCCCGACAGTCTGCCCAAGATGCATCTGCGTGCGTGTGTGTGACATCACGTTCGCTTTACACAACTCCATAAAAAAAGGTTCGACTATGCCAGACTGAACCAAGCACCGATTCCACGTTGCACTTAGCACAAAGCACGGATCCCACGAACCAATCGTTGATGCACGTAGCACCGAMACCAAACCAAGCACGGAGTAGCACAAAGTAGCACAAATGCACCCAGCAGCACCAAGTAGCACGAAAGTGGCACCGATGCACGAACCAAACACGACCACGCACGAAGTACCAAGCACTGAGAGAAAGAAAGGGAGAGGTAGAGAGAGAGAGGGGGGAGAGAGAGAGAGGGAGAGGGAGATCCACAAAGAGAGAGAGAGAGAGAGCGTTACGGTAGGCAGGCCGTAGGCAGGTTGCATGGACCCTGTAGGCTGTAGGTAGGTCACCTAGGTCGCGTAGGTCGCCTAGGTGGGCGTAGGCAAGTCAATAGGTCGCGTAGGCAAGACCGTAGGGCACAAAGTACCAAGAACRACRTACGTGGGGCAGTTTGTCRCGTACGCAAGACCGTAGGGCACAAMGTACCAWGRACGACGTACGTAGGGCAGTTTGTYGCATAGGCCATTCTGTCGCGTATGGGCATGCCGATCCGGGCTGCCCACGGCCCTACCGGGCCGACGACCAGGATTTCCGCGCGATCTTAAGACTTTAAGATTGTGTGTCGATCTAGGCCGTCTGGCAAAGCGGACGGTCTGGATCACCGCGCGATCTCTCTAATACTATAAAGCAAGAAGCGGGTCTCGCGTGACGGGCCCAACAGAAACCGGGCGCCGGCACGCCGGACCGCTCCCGCACTTCAGGTTTTCCCAAGCGGCGCGACGCCGCGATCATTTTTGTTGGCAAGCAGTCTTTTCGGGCCGCGAGGCAGTTTTTGGTGGTGGCCGGGAAGATACAGCGCTCGCAATTTTTTTCTCGTGTGGCGGCCTGTGGCGATTCCGAACCCGCAGCGTRAGGCCGGGAAGATACAACTCTCCCTTTTTTTTTTTGTCTTGGCGATTCACAGGCGGCATGGTTCGATGCACGCATAGGGCGAGCGTCGGCTCACTGCCGCGACCGTGCATGAGAGAGGCATACAAAGGCACGCAAAGGAGCGATCCTGGTGAGGGCGAGCATCAGCTTACTGCTGCGGCCGTGCATGGCGAGAGACGTGTGCGTTTGTGCGTAGGTGGACGCGGTCCGTGGTGGTGTGCATTGTGTGGCAGATCGGTGGGCAGTGTGCGGCCAGTTTCTAT